ACATTTATTTGGGGAACAAAGTTACACAAAATGAAATAGGGAAATAGATCTTATAAAGCAGATATGGATTTCTCACTCAAACCAGCACATTATTGTGATTATATAGTCATACGTTTAGCATCCAGTAATGCAGAGCATATGTTTGTTTTATTCTTTCTTCTTTTTATGGGATCAAGAACTCTAGCTTTGCAGTAAAGAATGTGCAGGCTTGTAAAAGATATGAAGTCTGTATCAATGGACAGCCTAAAAATACAGCATTAAAACTCCCACAGTTCAAGGTCCATGCTGACTGATCTGAACTGATAAAAGGTAGCACTCCTATGATCTTATTAATACAGAATACTTGCTTTTATGTTACAGTCTTGGGAACTTATCCTTTATATCTAAGGATTGCCAATTCTCCTAAGTCTTCTCACATTTCCACACTGAATATTTTCCCCCAACGCTGCATTTACAGTGCTTGAAAATCTGAACTTGGAAGACCAGGTAAGAATGATATAGAACCTAGGTACATACCTTGTCCAGGTTCATACTGATTTATAGTCAGTTGATCAGGTTTATGGTTAATGTATCCCATTTTCAGACATTTTGCAAGAATTGTGTTACAAAAATCTGGGAGACCTGATATTTCAAAACAAAGATAAATTTTTGCCACTTTTTTGTCCCCTCAGAAATTCCTCATAACAGAAACAATATACAGTATAATAAACATACAATAAAGTTTCAGTTGAAAAACAGAATGTATTCGGGTATTATTTATAGCTTTCTATAACATTTAAACTGCCATGACTTTCCCCAAAGCCTCTTGGGAATTGTAGTTTGATGAGGTGTGGATTATTTTAATCAAAGCATTCAAGCTGGGTTAGACCAAGCACCGCTCTAGCTCGGGATTTTGCTTTCACAGTGGCCAAAAATCCTACAAACAAGTCAGTGATATTCAATGCCTTCTCATGTTGTTCCCCATGAACATGATGATTCTCCATGAATTTGATGATTCTTTGAAATTATGTACTCTATGATACTTCTGTTCCGTATTCTAGAGTTTGATCAAGAACCATCTGTCCATAACATGCTTATGCATGTCCTCATTAACTGAAATGGGAATTGTGGACACAACCCCATTTTTCATATGGTTTTAAGTACAGTAATCCTTGACTTATGATCATACTATCCTATGACTATTTAAAACTCAGATTCAACATTCCAATAGCCATCCACACCTACACTCTCACACACAGCCACATGACCATATTTTGGGCACTTGGCAACCAACCCGCATCTGTGGCCACTTGCAATATGCCATAGTCACATGACCACGATTTATAATGTTCTTCCAGAAACCAGCATTTACTTCCTATTTCCGACAAACAATGCCCATTGCAGACAATGGATTTACTTAACAACTACCACAAAATAGGCGGTAAAATTAGATGTGGACATGGGGTAACTCCCTTAACAATGAGCACAATTTAGAACCATAATTCTGGGCTCAATTACAGTCACATGTCGAAGACTACCTGTAGGTTTCAGTGATTTCAATGGGACTGTAAAGAAATGCAGCCACATTTGTATAGGTATAATGAAAGTATTACTCATTGGCATGAAAACCATTTCACAGAAACAGGAAGATTGATAAAGAGATTCTGATTAGATACCCACCTCCAGGTAATGGTTTGTCTCGATCAACATTGTTGTTATCATATCGAAATTCATATCCAAAATGTTTTACCCTCCTATGTTTTAAAGACTTCTGAGCTATGAAATAGAAAGAAACAAGGGATTAAAAATATAATTGTAAATACAATATTGGTTATGAGCCTATGTAATCCTATGCTTATGAATCAGTGCTCAATTCAAATCCTGCTTCTGCCATAAGCTCACAATAGTCTCAGGAAGGTCATGTTTTCCTGCTTCCAACATCTGCAATGAAACTGAACTGATGCTTTGAATATTTAAAAGTACTGCATTGGTGGTAAACATTACTATTATAGTAATAAGTGCAAAAGTGGAATTGCATGCTGATTGCTGTATCTTGGAGCTGAATACTCTCAACACCTTTAAGGGTAACCAACAGCTCCTCAGAAGTTATTTACAGTTTCCCCTTCTATTGGGTAGATGAATTAGGATCATTGGCAGTTATAGTTCAGCTGGAGGACTACAGATTCCTCTACTCTGATTTTCAAGAAAGACTTTCAAGTCTTTTCTTGTCCCCAAGGAACCTGAGATGAAAACAGAGACCATTTTTTTCCTTTTTACCCTATCCTGACTTTTACAGATAGTCCTCAATTTATGACAATTGAGCCCAAAATTTCTGTTGTTAAGCAAAACAGCTGATAAGTGTTCCATTTTATGATCTTTCTTGCCACACTTGTTAAGTAAATCACTGCCGTTATTAAATTAGAAACATGGTTGGTAAGTGAACCTGGCTTCCCTTTTAACTTTGCTTGTCAAAAGGTGGCAAAAGGTGATCACATGACCCTAGACCAGGGGTAGGCAACCTTGGCTCTTTTATGACTCGTGGACTTCAACTCCCAGAATTCCTGAGCCAGCACAGCTCACGAGTCCACGAGTCATAAAAGAGCCAAGGTTGCCTACCCCTGCCCTAGAACAATGCAAATATTGATAAATACATGCCAGTTGCCAACAGTCCAAATTTTGATCACGTGACCAAAGGGATGCTACAATGGTTGAAAGTGTGTGAAAAACATTCATAAGTCACTTTTTTATGGTTACTAAACAAATGGTTGTTAAGTTGAGGACTACCTGTATTACAGTTTTAGATATGAATAGATAACCTGCTTTTTGGTCATAAGTAATCCTTGAAAGATCCTTGGAAACTGTCTGCTTATTATAGCAAGAATCAACACCTGGTGGACTTCAGTTGATCTGAAAAAGCTAAGTAGGGTCAGATCTGAGAGCACTTGGATGGGAAGCAACAAGGAAATCCCAGAACTGTAATGTATTATCCTCAACTGAAAACAGAAAATATCCCCAAAGCTAACAACAAACCCTTTTCATATTGTTACCAAGAAAGCTACATGCATGTACTAATGCTGTGTTTCTGAACATTAGCAACTTTTAAGATGTCTGAACTTCAATTCCTAGAATGCTTTGCTGGCTGGAAAATTCTGGGAACTAAGATGCAGACATCTTAAAGTTGCTAAGGTTGAGAAACACTGTGCTAATACAAAGGATCAGCTCAGTTCAAGGGAGACATTGCCTTTTAAACAGCAGAATGATTTTTCTGCCATAAAGATGCATATAGCATGTTCCAAGCATCTGAAAGGATAAATTCAGGCACATGGACCTACAGGAAAGATTGACTCATACTTCTGTTGACCTGGTAAACTAGCTTTGTTAAAATCATAAAAGTCAGTGATTTTTGCAAATTGCTTTACTAGCAGGTGGAAGATGCAGAGATGAATTTCACATTTGCCAATCACAATAAGTATATTTATTTTGTAATATTTATAGCCCACCTCCATTTAAACCAACTTTTAAAAATTTAAACTACTAAACATGTGTATTTATGTTCCTGCCCTTTATTTCAAGATAGCATATTTGGTTCTCTCCACCTTCCCCTCATCCTCACAATAATTCTGACTTCTTTTCCCAATTATTCCAATCATCCCGTTTGCATGGCCTGAGCCAATGTTTGCTTCATATTGCTGCCTTTTAGCTCTAAAGTAGCTAAAACTACAACTTTCATAACAGCCAGAGGCAGCAGGGAATTTTTTGACCCTAAAAAAAGCTAAACCTACCTCTGGCCAAATAGCAAAGTGTTCGACTTTGCTACGAAGGAGTTTAAAAAATTGTGGAATGACACCATCTCTTTCTGTTGATTCCAATCCAATTCAGCCCAATTGCAATGTCTCCCTATTCACTTGGTTTTGCACAACTACTTTTGATCTGTTTTCTTGCACCTGGCCACTTAAGCTTCCCCCAAGTCAGAATTCTCCAATTGGCTAGGACCAACTATTCCAAGTTATTGGCTGCACTGGAAAGGTTACACTTAAGCAACCTGGATAGATTGGAAAGCACTGACTCCACCTCATTTTCTAGATGGTTTAATACCCAAGGCTGTAATTATTATTTTGTAATGTAGGACTTTAGACTAAATCATGTGGATTGCTCATGGAGGTATTCTGCTGTGCCTAAGAATACTTTATCATTCACTGCAATTGCTGTTGAAGTCACACATCATGATAATCCATGATGTAGTTATTATTATTATTTAATTTAATTTAATAATTTAATTTATATACCGCCCTTCTCCCGTAGGACTCAGGGCGGTGCACAGCATATTAAAACAAATACAAACAAAATACATCAAAAAACAAAAAAACCCCATAAAACCAAATTAAAAGCCAAATATTAGAAGCTGTGTGTCAATTAAAATTTTCTTAAAATCATCCCTACCTAAAATCCTCCCTAGGTCAGGCCCGCTTGCTGGAAAAGCCATGTCTTGAGGGCGCGGCGGAAAGTAAGGAGATCCGGAATCATCCGGATCTC